ATTGTTTCATATTCTCTGTGTATATATAAAGTCTGCTGCAGTTTCCACGGTATACATCTGATGAAGTGAGCTGTAGCTCACGAAAGCTCATGCTCAAATAAATTGGTTAGTCTCTAAGGTGCTACAAGTACTCCTTTTCTTATAGGCAAGACTGTATGCTAGCCATCCTCCTTCCCACCCTCCTGCAAAGTTCTCCCCTTAAATTCATAGCAAAGTACTTAAAACATTTCAACATTGTTCACTCTGCTTGTATGTTATACTCCTTTCATGTCTATTTAGACAGTAAACTCTTTGGGGACACAGACTGTTTACTACTCTCTATTTGTACAGCACCTAACAATGGAGCCCCATTCATGGTTGGTGCTTAGGCACTACCATAATAAACATGAACAACTAAACTGAATTGTCTCATTTTTAAAAATTAATTTCCATACGGAGACCTCTAAAGATCTAATTCCTGCTGGTACCGTATTTGGTAAGTGAAACACTGATATATCAGAAACAAAGTAAGAGTAGCTAAAACTAGTTTTTCATTAAATTCTAAAATAACTGTTTTTAATCAATGATAAATATTGGTAAATTTGGCTTAAGAAAAAAAGGCACTCAGTTACAATTTTATTTTAAGAGGAGCCAAAGGACCCACATCTTCCTCTTGTTGTACTAGGATGTCAAGTGAAAAGCTTCGCATAAGGTCTCTGAAATTCAAATGCAGTAGAATGTTCACAAAATGGCCTCTTTTAAGGTTCTGATATTTCTCATTTGGAGCAGGTTTATATATAGTTATTTTTCATGTAGTTAAACAAGTGCTTATTACAAATATTCTTAAACTTGCTGTATTTCTCCGATTTCACTTTGTTATCAAATCAGATTTCACAATTCAGAATTACTTTTAGAAGTATTAGGTAAGACTTAACATTTGTTTAACTGTTTTGTAACATGTGCCAGTTCACCCAGTCATACTTAGTGACATTCATTTTCTTGTGGGAAGTGGTCACATGTCCTTTAAAGGTGATTTGCAAATGGTGGGAAAAAAATAGGTTTGTGCCCTTTTATGCTTATAGGGAGGCCTGAAAAAGTTTCAGCATGGCTTTTTTTCTGCTTGTTTCTTACACTTACACTAATTTCTTATTAGAAATTAAAGTCCCACCTAGACTGGGAGACCACCATCATTGGTAAATTGATGAAATGTAACAAGAATCACGAATGAAAGCTGAGCAATTAAGAGGGTAAGGGATTTTTAAGTAGACTTAACATTTTATTAATAGCAATGGAGTTTCAATTATTGATTTTGGATAAGAGATCGCTTTGAGAGAGAGTCAAATATACCTCTCCACACATTCCTTCAGTTAAGATGACAGAATTCACAAACCTGATCTGACACTATCAAAAGGTTCTCTAGTGTGGAAGACTACTTTTGAAATTTGATTTATAATTATGTTTCAGAATTGAAACCCCAATTCAGATGACAGTTTCAGTTCACATATCTTAGAGCTATTGTTTCAGTTGGTTTTACACACAATATATCAATTTGCTTTTGACCCTTTCACACCAGAAGAGTAAGTGTTTTTGTTTTTTCTAAAAGGAAAGCTTAGATTCTGCCACCAAATTCTGTGGTTGCGGAACAGCAGAAGACAAAGGGTTCTCACAATTAGTCCCTTTCCTTGGAGGACACCACCCGTCAGCTCCAGAAACTTGGTTTCATCTGGGATGGAACTGGAGGATACTTGTACTGAAGGTTTCATGTGGAAGAGGAACAGGGATCAGTGAGTCCACCCAAATCTAAGGATGCCTCCAAGCCCAAGGATGCTAGGGCTAGTTCATGTCATACCACCACACAATATACAGTCTTTCTCCTTGAAGATGGATCAACTGTGTTATATCCACAGTCCCCTTATTACTAGGGGCTTTCTACACCATGCCCTCTATAGCAACCGCTAGTTTATGGTCAACAACTCACTTTATATCTTTGCAGTACACCAAGACCAATATATTTTAGAATTTCTTTTACTGTAAAAGTGACAAGCTGCTTTGAAAGCTCCCAGAACTCGTTACTTAAATGTTAAAATCCCCAAAAGGTGGTCTACCCCACCTCTCCTCAGCTATCAAATATTAAACATTTAATTAAATATAGGCTTCAAGAAAGAAAGTGGTGAAGCTAAAAGTTGACTTTCAAGCAGCACAGAATTTGTTACATTTCCTAGAAATTAGGAAGTCTAAATTAGTTGACAGCTGAGCAATCTCAGCTGCCAGGCATGTTCTGTTGCTACTAAATTCAACAAAATCACTACAGAACACAAAGCTACATGCTAAGTGCTAAGGCTGATGTAACCTCACACTTCAGGAGCAGAAGCCTAATAGTAACTGGCTATTTATCATGGTACACTAGCTTTCCTGTAAAGTCCTTTGTTTTGTTCCACTTTGGTTTGTTTTTTTAAATGGCTGACAGCTAGGTAGCACAATGAGTTAGTGTAACAGGTTTTGAACCCAGATGTTCGAAATAAAACACCAAAATAAGTGAAAGTTTGAGAGTTTTTTGGTTGAGATTTGGCAAGATATACAAACACAAAAGGTGAGGAATACTCATTTTCTGAATTACTTTGTACATGCTTATCTCTAGTACTGTGTGTGATGCTTTGTTACCACTCTTTCTTCATGTACTATCTTCATGTTCTCAGCCTCAACTGTTCATAAATCCAGATATGCCAACTCTGTCAGGCGCTTGTCTAACTGAGGACACATGGAATCTTAATAAGTGGGAAATAATATGGAGGAGATGTGTTAGAAGTAGAAACCCAAAGTCCACATACACTTTTATAAACAAACATGTTTGCCAACCGTATATTTTGTATAGGGTGAATTGTTCAGACTTCAATCAAAGGTACATAAAAACAAGCTATTTTGTAGTGATGCTCAAAGAAGTAAAGGATTCCACCATTCTCAAGTTTTCTCTTGAGCCCCATTTAGTTTTTCTCCCTCTGGACAAAGGGGTAAAAACTACATCATTGTGATGGGATTTTTCATCCTATGTACCTCCTGTTCAGTAAAGATTTTGCTATTCCCTTCCCCAAATGCAGGAGGCTATGAATGTTCTCTTGCCACTGGCCTCCTTTATATAGGAAAAGGCAGTAGTGGTACTGTTTAAGGTTTTGCTGCTGTCTACCCTCTGCAGAGCTCTGAAAATTATGCCACCTGCAAGGAGGTTTGTAATCCAAAGTAAGCCTCAACCTTGCAAGTAAAAATGATTATACATTGAACATGTTTTCCTGTAACAGATCTAATGCCAGGTCTTCAGTTTTTGTATTAGTACTGCATTAGTATTTCTATTTTGTTTAAGGGTATGATTTTTTTTAAACCCGATGTTTTACCAGCGCAACCCTGATATAAAGATGCCATATAATGGTGTAGCTTATTTACCTTCACTTATGGGAATTAAGCTATACCGGTACAAGCACTTACACACATATATAACTATGCTCACACTGTTGGGGGGGGGAGGGGTGTGTGTGGAGGAAGGGACTATATATAAATCAGCATCCCCTCCTGTGTGTAGAATTCATACTTGCAATCACTTCTGTATTACAGAGTTTCCAGATCAAGTTCAACCCACTTCTTATAACATGACAAATTATCCAAGTTGGCACCTGTCATATGAACACAGGAATTGTCATACCTGACCAGACCACGAGCTTATCTAGTCTAGTATCCTTTCTCCACCTGTGGTCAACCAGACACTGCATAGTGAAGTGTAAAACCTCTATAGTAGAAAGTTATGAACCAATATGCCCATCAGAGAAGTTTCTTACCAAATCTACCAGTTAGTGGCTGACCTATGTTCTTACATATGAGTTACATATTCCATATCCCTAAAGTAACTAGATGGTAAGTGTTTAAGATTTAAAAAGAGGATTAAACTCCTTGCTTTAATAATATGTTGTAGGAGTGGGTTATACAATTTAATACGATGTAAAAGTATTTCAACCTATCATTGAAGTTTACTTTTTAGTTTTTAATGAGGCAATTCTTTCACTGAGAGGGTAATTAGGAGTTCTCAAATTATCTTCTTTATACACCTCTACCCCAATATAACACAACTCGATATAACACGGGTTTGTATACAATGCATTAAAGCTCCGACACGCTGCTCTGAGCAGCATGCTAAGGGTGCCGGGCCGGGGCTGAGGGGTTGGATAAGGGGCAGAGGGTCTTGAGGGCAGTGAGGGGCTCCCCGCTAGGGTCTGGTATGCAGGAGCTATGGGGGGGCACTTTTGGGGGCCCTGCAGTCCCAGAGTAGCCAGGAGGATTAGCGGGGGGCTGGGAGCAGCCCGCTCTGCTTCGATCGCCCTGGCCCCAGCCGTGTTGCTCGGGGGAGGGGACTTGGAGGGACACTCACCAGCAGCGGCGGAAGCCGAGCAGCCTGGCCCCAGCCCTCTCCACGCCGCCAGCTCCCAGCTGCGGCGCTCCACTTCCCCCCACAAGTGAGTACAGGGGGGCATCCTTTCCCCAACCCCCCTGCACTCACCGGCAGCAGGAAACAGAGTGTCGAGGGTGGGAGCTGGCAGAGTGGAGCGGGCTGAGGTCACACGTTACTCTGCTTCCCGCCACTGCCAGTGAGTGCCTGTCAGGGGGCAGGGTGGGTGGACAGGGGTCTGAGCAGTCAGGGGACAAGGGAATTGGGTTAGGGGGTGGGGTCCTGAGGGTGATTAGGGACAGGGTCTCTCGAGGGGGAGGTTAGGGAACAAGGAACAGGGAGGGAGGAGCGGCAAAGCAAATTCGATATAATGTGGTCTCTCCTATAAAGCGGTGAGATTTTTTGTCTTCCGAGGTGTACTATCATTTTATAAACTGCTATCATGTCCCTTTCTATTCATCATCTCAACTAAGTAGTCCTACTCTTTTCCCCTCAACTCTTTAATGCCTTAAATGTGTACTGTACATCACTGACTAATCTCCTTTCAGTGATTTGTCAATATTAAGAGGTTTTATTAAATCATCAGACATACCTGACTTAAAAGCTGTCCATGAAAAATGGTATTGACCACATTCAGAACCTGTTTGATAAGTTTCCTTTGAGAAGTGGGGATGAGAGCTGGGTATCTGGTCCCAGTTGTCTCCAGTTCCTGCTGTACTTTATCCAAAAGTTCACAGAGGAATTCCTGAGCATCTTGTTGGGCATAACCTCGGAAGGCTGGGATTAGTCTCCACACAGAATGGAGCATGGCAAAAGGAGACACCAATGCCCACTTGCCAGACCACATAACTTGGAACAGAGTATGTAGCTCATGACACAGAGAAATGTGCTTTGAGCTTGGCTCCCTGGGCTGAATAAGCTCCATATTTCTACTTTTTGATGCCCCTCCACTTAGTCCGGATGATAAACTGGGTCGTCTCATGGAAGATGATCCTTTTACCTTCATTTGGTTCTCATTCACACAAAATGCAGAACCAGTAATTGGAGGGTGCTTAGAAGAGGATCTTGTTTTTTCATTGGCTGCTGTTGCCAGCAACTCTTGAGTTTGGTTCAGATCAAGCTTTAAAAAACATTCCCGAAAAATAAGCAAATGACTCAATACTTGCAGAATAGAGTTCATATAGCATGTATTTCCCAAGTTTCTCAGTCCTGTTACACCAGGAGTCACTGTAGGCCTTCGCTTAATTGGAGAATCACCAATTTTTTTCAATCTTACTTCATCTGAGGTAGAAGTTACTTTCAGCTCTGCAGGAGAGGACAAATTTTGTGGTAATTTTTGTAAACAGGGTGATACTTTTGAGGATATTTTATTTTGATTTTGTAAACGAGAACTCTTCCTTGGAGGCATGTTTTCCATCTCTACTTTCAACTGACGCTTTCGCTCTTGTCTTCTTTTCCTAGCTTTGTCCCTTCTTTCCTCTGCCTCCTCCTGGCGCCTCTCTTCTTCCAAAATCCTTTCCCCACTAGGTGTTAGCTCAAACCATGATCTGAACACTTTGCCTATTAACGCACGCCTTCTGTGCCACAGAGCCGTGAACATGCGGTCTTCATTTCGAAGCAAGGCTTGGGCACCATTGTGTGAAAGGTAAGAGTCATCACTTGTACCCATAGATCGCAAAGTCCTGCCACTACGGGTAGTGCAGTCATAGTTTTGGCTCTTGATTGCACTTAATGTACTTCGCAATAGTTTTAAGTCACCAGTTGCATTATCATTAAGAACATAGTCATCACAAAGGTAACAGAAAACATACAGCTCATTCACTTCCAATGCCACTGGATGGCTACTTTCCTGAAAGTGCTTTAGTGCATGCTCTTCAATGTACCTTCCACACGCAACATGTGAGCAGCTAAGGCATGCCCAGACAGATTCGGTAGTATTGCAGTCCACGCAATGCCATTTTTGAGGGTTCAGGATGGAATGGTCTTGGGCAAGCCGCAGTCGCCCTATGTGCTTACACTTATCCATTATTAATACTGAAATACTGGAGAAATACTAGAGAAACACATTATCCAAACTATTTTCTGTCCATGATATTCTGACCTGAAAACTAAAGGAGGAAAAAAAAAAAAAAAAAGTTCAGCTTCACATATAGTGCAAGTCAAAAGTAAGTTGATACATCCTTGGAAATAAAACTACTTGGTTTATTTTAAAAGAGTACTGATGTACTATTCTGCAATCAGAGTCACAATCAACAACTTTGTTACCAGTTTTAGGAGAAAAGTCCATGCCTGAATGGGCATGAAGACTGAACATCCAGGCTGAGGCATGTTGATAACATAACATGTTAACATATTTTTGTTAAACCAGTGTAACTCTGTATGAACACCTGGCAAATATTGGTTTAGCTTACATTAGTAAATTTACAGGTGCAAGCTAAACTGATATTTACAGATGGGGAACTGAGACAGAGACTTGCCCAAGGTCACACAGGATGCTTGTTGCAGAGCAGGAGATTGTATCCAGGTCTCCAGCTAGTGTCATCACCACTGACCATCCTGTCTCTCAGGACTTAGTGACTTATGATCAGAAACAGTTCTTTGTATTTAACGCAAACGTTCAGTTCACCTTAATTCCTCATGAGATAACTAATGAAAAATGCTACAAGATAACCCATTAACCTCAGTAATTAGATAGTAAAAATTGAAAGTCAGTATTCACATTTTGGTAACAAGTATAATTCTGAGATAAATTTTCATTTTAATTTCCATAAGTGCTAAGAGTCAATACTATCTATGTATAGGGAAGTTAAATATCCCCAAGACTAGATGTTTCATGGGCAATTATTTAAAAAAAAAAAAAAAAAAAAAAAAGATAGCTAACCCCACTCTTCCTCTGCTCCCTCCAGTCTGAAAGGCATGATTTACCAAGTGTGTTGTGCTTATTTTATGTCAATATTGTATAATAAAGTTCAACTAATGGCACACAACACTACAGCCACTCAGTTATACTCTTACACTATGTTGGCAATCATTCATATGCAACATTGCAACTGAACGATTTCCAGTAAATTTAGTTTTTGTTTTACAGACCTTCTACCTAAAGAGCTTTTACACAGAACTACAACACATAGCAGCTTAGTTTTCTTTGGTTTAATTATAAAATCACTGTAGTATTGACCAAAGAAGAGGATTTTGCCACAGAGCAGTTAGGTAACTAAATATAACCGTAACAGTTGCTGTCTGTTCTCATTACTTAACATGCCTGCTTGGCAATCAGGTTACTTATATTTAGATGTAAGTAAACTTATTGATAACACCTACATTATAAAGTCTAAATATTTAAAGAAAACTCTTTCGAAGAAATTTTTTTATTATGTTTTTCAAACCAAAGAATTTAATCCTTAAAGCTATAAACACCATCAGAGATGCACCACTATTCTTTTCTATGGGGTGCACACCTGATGCAATGGGAAATGTGTATGAAAATATGAGGGATTTTAAAAATAAGCTGCATACTGATGAAATTCTTATGTTATTTCTTTTATGAAGTTATAGCAGGTCAAATATTAATAATACTTAAAGAAAATACCTACTTAAGGATATTGCAAGAATTAGTTACTATGCATACTTTGAAAATAAGTACTACATACAGGTCCTTTTACAGACTACTGAACACTGTACGTCCATGCATGCACCCACACTCCTCCTTCCCAAAGCTCCACAAGCCAGCAGGGAGTGTTCCCATTGGCTAGAGGAAGAACACTTAAGCTCAGACTTCCCTATGTCTGGTCTGAGACTGACACTCAGCTGGGCAGCCAGACACCACAGCCCCTAAATCTCTTATCAATCAGAAGGAACTGATGGGAATTGGGGACTCCTTGATGTGGGTCAGATCAATGAGGGGTTGCTGATTTTGGTTAGGATACAGTATTTTGGTTAGACAACAATGCTTAAATGGGGAAGTGATTTTGTCTTCTCTTTAATATTAGAGTTGGCTGGGAAGTCTGACAATGACATTTTCCTTTGAAAAGCGAAATGGTCCATGGGAACAACACTGATTTCAAAGAATATGTCACTGGAAATTTATCTGGTTTCTGCTAGCTCACCTACCTGCTGGAAAGCCAGGATAGAGACTAGAGAGGAATAGAGTTGTTCAGATTATTATTACAGCTGTTATAAATGTAAACTACCAAGCCTCTGGACACCTGAACAGTCACTAAAAATACTTTATATAACTAGAGCTTAAGCTTGCCACTCCTACCCAGACTTCAACTGAGCAAGATACTTCAGTATGTGCTTAACTTTAAGCTCATGAATAGTCTTCAATGGGACTATTCATGCTTAAAGTTAAGCACATTCTGAATTGAGGGCACAAGTAGTTACACTGATTTCAGAGGGACTGCTTGGGTAACCAAGGCCTGTGTGATCAAGCCTTTAATATGTAGAGTAATAGAATGGGACTATGAAAGCTTAAGGTGACATTGCTTTAAAATTGCCATATGGGGCATAAAGACAAACAGGAGCCAAGAGTACACTTTTCTACAGCATTGAGGGAACTCAGAACTAAAAAACAAAAGTGTTAGTGCACTGAGTGGATCTGTTTATAAGGAAAGACTTGAAGTGTTGTATAGTAAGTATAGCTTGGCATTAAGCAAGCTTTTTTTCTTTTTTTTAAACAAATACTTGTATAAGATTTAAATTATTTAAGATAACACATGGGATGAAATCAAGAATGGGAAGACAGTATCAGGAGCCACTTCCTTATAATTGTATCTATTAGACTGTAGAATAGTCTTAAGTAGAAACAAACAATGGAAGTCACATAACTTAAGACACTTATGTCAAGGGTGGGCAAAACACTAAGTCAAAGTACCTAAGGGAAAAATCTAGAACTGGAAAGATGGATTAGGAAGACTAATAGAATCACAGAAGAGACCTCTGATAGAGCCTGCAGCTCTCTTCTCTAGCAGCTGGAGTGGAGAGGATGAAGCAGCCTACTTGTGCCATTAAACTTTACAAGTTTAAATTCCCTAAAACTAAGTTATTTAGTACCTCTTTATGGTTAGTGTCTTGCCCTGTTGTCCTCCCTCACCACTCAGTTCTCTGTGCATGGAGGAAAAAGAAACATTAATGAATTGACCAGCACTTCAGAGACCAATTATCCCTTTTGCCTTCAGCACTTAGAACTGAGCAGAAAGGATGAGCAAAGTAACAGAGGAGATAATGGCAACACAGTAAGCCAACCAAAAAGCATTTAGCTAAAATTTCGTGGGAGAATTCAACTCTACAGAACATTCTCTTCCCTGAGTTTCACTGGCAGAAAAGTGAGTGCATCAAGGACTCAGATTTTCTTCCCTAATAAAAGTTCAGAAGTATTGCCTTTAACATTGATAAAAATAAAGTTTTGCATTATAGAACAATTTCTATTTAAATGTTATTTAGTCCTATTACTAGGAGAGATGAAAAGGTTTGTAATTAAAGGGACAGTCAAATTTGGTCTAAAATTTACATTTGGTTACAAATTGTCTTTTTAAGGCCAAAAAACTCTTTACTCAGTCTTTTAAATTCAAGTTAAAAAAAACAAAACAAACACTTCCCCGCAGTCACTAAAATCTGAACGTGGTAGCACTAACATAGTGAAAGTGAAACCAACAACTGACTCCATTGATTTATTTTGTCTAAGCCAAGTGAAATGCAAGAGTAAAATACTGATATTAGATTTTAAAATATCAGTTTTAATAATCTGTTACTGAGCACATAAGGAAGTGAACTGTATGTATTTTTTAAGTGTCCCTTTAACACTTTGGGTCCTAAACTGATTGACATAATTCACTGAACTGGTTTCCACTTTATCCAAATCCAGAAAACATGCACGAACATAACTTTTTGCAGAACCTAAACCTTAATTTTGTTATGCTAGTAAATCATACAGAAAATAGTAACATTTAAAAAAACTATTCGAAGCATCTCCCCATAGACATCGAAGTAACCTATTACACTGGTTAGGGTGTCCCTATATCCTAGTTATTCTGCACCCAGTCAGATCTGGATTTAGCAATTAGTCATTAATCTTTAAGGTTTTTTGCCTCTAGGAAGTTTGTACTGTTTTCCAGAAGTGATGCAACTGAATAAACTCTAGTGTAGTTCTCTATTGTGTCAGCGACACTGGAACTGCCAAACAATACAGACATATGGGCAAAAGGTGCCTACTTATCGCAAATAGTTGTAAAATTACTTCAGTTACAGCGACTTTATGGTGAAAAGTGTTTAAATCAGAACAAGAACCTGTTTTTATTCCAATCTTACAGAAGGGGGAAGTGCCTCTAATCAGTTTGGATACACTTCACAGCAAATAGGAACAGATGTACAAACTTGACTGTTCCAATGATAAATTAAAAGCAGCAATTATACATGTGATTATTCTTCTAAGTACCTCAATGTTTCTACAGAGCCTAGTCCCAGTCCTGATGGGGCCTTTGGGTGCTACCATAATAAAGAAAATTCAATCAGACCAAATTAGTGCACACAATACTTGAGGCAAGAGCAGCAGTATTTCACTGACTGTTCTTTTGTCATATCAAAAAAGTGACCTCGTTCCTCTCAGTGAGGTAAGTAATGAAGAAACCTTTTTGAAACATAGTGATTGTTAATTTGGTTGTTCAGATTGAACATAAAGAAAACGTTAGGATTCACCAGAAACAACAGATTTGCTTTGTGAACCCTTTTATGCCAGTGTATTGTTTCTTGCTTATTTGCATTTAATTGCAGTTCCTGGCTGACTCATTAGCAAATTTACTAGCTCACAATATTCTTGGAGGGTCCCTCCCCCACAAAGGTACCTTCTGAAAATCTCTCAAATGAGACTCAGCATCCAGGGCCTCAGCAAAGGGGTTTCCAGCCCCCAACTATGTCAGTGACTCAGACATAACAAAAGAATTCAAGTGTGAGGCCTGAAGGTTGCACTTGGCTGCTTGCTCCACAAAGCTCCCCTTCACACGAATGCATTATCCCCAGAAACGCGAAGGCTTGGAGACAAGCTCGGTAACTGAAGTGACCTTCTACACGAGCGCAGTGCATCTTTCCTTGGGGAAAACGAAGGACTATTTTAGAGAGACCGGCAGCGCGTCGGCCTCACCTTTACGGCTACCATGAACCCGACTTTTCAGCCATCACAAAAACCTGCGCCAAACCCCACACTCCGCCTGCCTCCGCGGCAACGAGCTGGCTTCCCGGGGAGCAGCCCTGGCAGAGCGCAGCGCCGAGACGCAGAGGTCCTGAGGGTTGTTTGACTGACAAGCCCTTGGCCGCGTCCCGGGAGGCTCCCGAGGCCAGAGCGCTCCCGGCAGCAGCAGCATCCTTCCCCCCCAGCGCGGGGCGGCAGCGCACGGGAGGGGAGCGGGTCCCCCGGGACCTCCCCCGGCACCGCGTTTATCCCGAGCCTACAACGGCCGGGGCGGGGGGAGTGGACAGAGCCACGGTCGCCGCAGCGAGAAACGGCTCCCAGCCCAGCCAGGCGGCGAGGGGCTCCCCCCCCCCCAAATGGGGCTGGCGGCGCAGGGAGACGCTCGCTCCCCGCTGTCCCTCCAGAAGCGCCAAATCCGGGCCAGCTCCTCGTCCCCGGCGCGGGGTCTCCCCCCCGCCACGCCACGCGGGACGGGTGTCCCGGGGCCGGCTCTCACCACCCACCTGGGCTGGGAGCCCGGCCCTGCCGCCCGCTTACATCCCGCCAGGGGAAGCTCAGCCGCGCCGAGCCCCGCGCCCGAGCTCACCACCAGCCGCCGCCATCTTGTGCGCCCGCCTGCGCGGCCTCCCGCGGCAGCTGGACAACGTCAGCGCCGCTGGGAGCCCGGCCCCAGTCCCGCCGGGCCTCTCCCCCCGCGCCTGCCCGGGCCGGGCGACGGGCTCCGCCTGCCCCGCGGCGCCCAATGGGAGCCGGCTCAGCGAGCGCCCCCCGCCGTGGGGCGGGGCATTGGGGGCAGGCCCAGGGGGATCGTTCAGCCCGTTGCCTTGGGCTGCCTGTGTCTGCTCGTCCGCGCGCGCGCGCGTGTGTCAGTCTGTCTGTGTATGGGTCTGTCTGTGAGTCTGTGCGTGGGTGGGTCTCTGTCTGGGGAAGGGGGGTGTCTGCGTCTGCCGGTCTGTGGGACTGGGTGTGTTTGTGGCGCTGGGTGTGTGTCTGTCCACGGGTATGCCTGGGTCTGGGTGTGAGTGTGTGTCTGTCTGTGTGTCTCTCTTTGTTTCTGTGGGTCTGTCTGTCTCTGTGTGTACCTCTCAGGTTAAAAACCCCAACGGGGCAGAATTGTGAGATGAGTTTCTCATAAAGCTGACACAGAAAATACCACCAAACCTACTATTTTTCTATAGCATTGAAACAAACTGCCCAGGGAGCTGGCAGGCCCTAGAGATCCCACATCCATCTACACATCGGATACACACGAGGATGGTGTGCAGGGCTTTGGGGGGCGGAGGGGAATCAAAACTTGTGATGCACTGATATGGATACCATTGTATGCAATATGATGGGTCATTGTAATCATATTTACAAGTTTATTTTGTAATAATATTTACCATGTATTATTTGCATTGTGGTAGCAGCCAGAGGCCCCAGTCAGGATCATTGTGCCAGGCACTCTACAAACACATAGGCCACATGGTGCCTACCTACCCAAAGAACCTAATAAGATTATGCCTATAATACTGTGTGTATATTAGGTGCAATGTAACTGAAATCAGAAATACCCTGAGTGAATAAGGCAAACTAGGAAACTGGAAAAAAATACCACCACTAAGCATATCTAGTTCCTCCCTGTTTGCTACTACATACTAAAGATAGCAAGCGGAAGAGATTGTTGCATGCTTATTTTGTATGTCACTTAAATCTGCCGTTGCAGCAAAATCTTTTGCTTTCAAATTTCGTGATTTTTTTTTTCTGTTAAGTAGTGCTCTATGTAGCTCCTCTTAGTATAGTGGTAGGTATCCCTGTCTGCCACATGGCAGACTGGGGTTTGATTCCCAGGTGGGGAAGCATTACTTTCTTGGGGGAGGGATAGCTCAGTGGTTTACACATTCGCCTGCTAAACCCAGGGTTGTCAGTTCAATCCTTGAGGGGGCCTGGGGCAATAATTGGGGATTGGTCGTGGTTTGGAGCAGGGGGTTGGACTAGATGACCTCCTAAAGTCCCTTCCAACCCTGATATTCTATGATTCTGTGTATCAGCAGGAAAACAAGCCAAGGGAAGCCTCTGTATTCCTATTCTATCACATCTAAATATTCAATAACTTCCAAGGTAAATAGGTTTGTTTGCATCCTCTCTGTTACTTTAAGCAGCTTGCATTATCATTACGTAAATGTATTATGATGCAACACTGTTTACACCTCAGTCACACCACAGCTTTAAGACATTTGAGTGGTTTACACCAGTAATACAGGAGTACTGGTAAGAGACTGATCCTTATTTCCAAAAGGGTTGTTCTTGTCTCAAGAAGCTTGTTAGTTCTTTCTTGTTTAGTTCAACAACATCCGCACCAGTTTTGGACCAAGAGCAATTAGGAAGCTCCTTTGTTTTCAGTGGTTCTTTTGTATTCTGTTTCCTGTGTTCATTGCAGATTTCAGTCTTGGATAGCTTTATCTTTGATGGCATCATTCTTGCTTGGCCAGAATAAGCTCTTTCAGGCTCTGTTTTTATACTTCCCAGTACCCTGATGGACACTGCTTTATGCTTTGCCTTTCTGACATCATGCTGTAAGGTGTTAAGTCACAATGTTCTTTGTAGAGAATGGTACGTGGTATATGGTACAGTTTCACCTCTTCCTGGAGCTGTTGAAACTACATGCTCTGTAAGAAGTTCTTACCATGACTGTATTTCACATATGAGTACTTTGTAATTTTGTTATGAAGGCTTAAACAGAGAAAGCCTTTTATACTTAAGCCTGGTCTACACTACGGAGTTAGGTCGAATTTAGCCGTGTTAGGTTGATATTAAAATGAATGCGTCCACACAACCAACCCCATTCCGTCGACTTAAAGGGCTCTTAAAATCGACTTCTGTACTCCTCTCCAGCATGGGGAGTAGCGCTAAAATAGACCTTGCTGGGTCGAATTTGGGGTAGTGTGGACGCAAATGGATAGTATTGGCCTCCAGGAGCTATCCCAGAGTGCTCCATTGTGACCACTCTGCAGGGCCGGTGCAAGGATATTTTGCCCCCTAGGCGAAACGTCCACCTTGCGCCCCCACCCCTGCACATTGGTTCATTGAGGAGCAAATCCCAATGAGCCTTTATAGACCCCAGAGGCGAGCCTGCCCAGGGGTCAGCTGTGCCCAGGGGCTGCTCCCCAGACCAGGTTCCCCCCTCCCCGCCCCCTGAACTCCCCTGGAGGGTGCACAGCCCCCCCGCGAGCCCTCCCCACCCCACCCTGGCGGCCCCCGTCCTGAGTCCACTCATTGGCTTTGCTGAGCTTGGGCCGCTGCAGCAGCTCAGCAGGGAGGAGCGGTCTTCCAGAGGCACCAGAGAGCCAGAGTGTCCCACTTGCGGCGGTGGCGAGCCCCAGCCATGGAGGAGCCAGCATGGTGCAGGGAGGCAGCAGCCCTGCAAAGGCAGCAGCACCACTAGAGGGGAGCAGCCGTGCCCCCCGCCCCTCCTGCCCAGGCTGTGGCCCGGCACACCCCCAGCCTGGGGGCCCCTGCAGGCCGCAGTGGATGCATGCAGGCGTCAGCCCCCGTGTGCCCCCCCGGCTTCCCCCTCGCCAAGGGTTACCATATTTCAACAATCAAAAAAGAGAACGGCGGGAGAGCCCCACCCCCATCCACTCCCTCCCACTTCCCACCCCCTGACTGCCCCCCTCAGAACCCCCAACCTTGCCCCCTGCTCTTTGTCCCCTGACTGCCCCCTCCTAGGACTCCTGCCCCTAACTGCCCCCCAGAACCCCACCCCTACCTAAACCTCCTTGTTCCTTGTCCCCTGACTGCCCCTCCTGAGATCCCCCCACCCTAACGGCCCCCCTAGGAACCTACCCTCTATCTGTCCCCTGACTGCCCCAACCCTTATCCACACCCCCGCCCCCAGACAGACCCATCCAACCACTCCCTGCCCCCTGACAGGACCCCCAGAACTCCCGACCCCTCTAACCCCCCCTGCTCCCTGTCCCCTGACTGCTCCGATCCCCCTCCACACTCCTGCCCCCTGACACGCCCCCCAGAACTCCCGACCCATCTAACCCCCCCTGCTCCCTGACTGCCCCCCGGCCGGGACTCCCCTTACAATGCCCATGCCGGTCAGACGCTCGCTCCCCGTTGAAGCAAAACACGCTGCCAGGCTGCCACACGCACAGCCCCTCCCCCGCAAAGTGCTGAGGCAGTGGGAGGGGCGGTGGCGGTGGCTCACGCCTGGGAGCCACAGAACCCAAGCACGGTGAGGGGGGAGCCGGGGGCACGCCTGCCCGGGCTGCAGCCCCCGTGTGCCCCCCAGCTCCCCCCTTGCCACGCTCGGGCTCTGCGACTCCCGGGTGTGTGAGCCACCGCTGCGCCTCCAGGAGCAGGCTCAGGGCCCCACGCCCCAGCGGCGGCGGCTCACATGCATCTGCTGCAGCCTGCAGGAGTCCCAGGGTGGGGGGCGCCAGGCCGCAGCCTGGGCAGGAGGGGCCAGGGCACAGCTGCACCCCACCAGCGGCGCCGCCGCCTTTGCAGGGCTGCTGCCTCCCTCCGCCGCGCCGGCTCCTCCATGGCTGGGGCTCGCCGCCGCCATAAGCTGCCACTCTGGCTCTCTGGTGCCTCCGGAAGGCAGCTGCTCCCTGTCGAGCCAGGGCACCACTTTTTGGTGCCCCCAACCACTTGGCGCCCTAGGCGACCGCTTAGTTCGCCTAGTGGTTGCACCGGCCTTGCCACTCTGGACAGCACTTTGAACTCCGATGCACTAGCCAGGTACACAGGAAAAGCCCAGGGAACTTTTGAATTTCATTTCTTGTTTGGTCAGCCTGGCAAACTCAGCAGCAAAGGTGACCGTGCAGTCCCCCCAGAATCGCAAATGAGCTCCAGTGTTGGATCATATTAAAGAAGTTCTGTATTAAAATCACAAATGAATTTGATTCCCCATAGTTTAAATTCCAGGGTATCACTAATTAAGAGGTCTCTTGGTTTTTGATACTGTTTCTCTCCCTCTATGTGTGAAACTTGCAAGCTGCTAATTGTGTTAGTACATTCTAAGACAGAGTCTGTTCTCAAACCAATTCTTTGTAACAACAACTACTCACACAGAGAGAGACTCAAAGCAATACTCTGTAACAACAGAATCAGCACCCAGAGACTCCCCACCCTTTTGTTGTATTCATCTCGCTTTGTTAACAATTGTGATTAAAATAGAGATAGAGGATGTATGTGGATGGATGCTTGGTGTGAATAATAACTGAATGATCAGGGAGATGCCAGCCTAAGAATCCAGTGTCCATCGGCTGAAAAAGGCGTCAAGTGGAAATAACCAGAGGACCCCCAGAGGCAGACTGGAATCCACCCAACAGCCTCAAGAATGGGAGAACCAAAGAACAAGATAACATCTGCCATCACGGAGCCGTCAGGAATGTGCCATCTGCTGATTGATTCAGCAACAGCATGATGAAGCAATTCCCATAGACTGGCATAGGAAGAAATTCCTATAAAAATGGACT